ATGTACCCCTAATGTTCTGAAATTTAAAAACATAATTCAGTGGAACTACCTTACTACCATATAATCCAGCAATCCGACTTCTGGTTATATATCCAAAGGAGATAAAATTAGCCTCTTGAGGAGACCCCTGTATGCTCATGCCCCCTGCAGCGCGGTTCACGGCAGCCAGGACGTGTCAGCAACCTAAGGGCCTGTCAGGGGGCATGGAAAACGTCTGTCTGTCTCCCCCTCCCACAAAAGTATTCAGCCTCAAAAGAGAAGCAAATCTTGTCATCTTCAACAACATGAATAAACATGGGGAACATTATGTTCAGTGAAATAAGCCAGATGCAGAAAGACACATAGTGTATCCTGATGGTCGCATATGGAATCTCAAAGAAGTTCAGCTCCTAAATGCGTAATAAAACGGTGTTCACGCGGGGGCAAGGCTTGGGGAGTAGAAGGTAATTTCGGCCAAAGAACACAACTTTTCAGTTATAGGGTAAATGAGTTCTAGAGCTCTAAGGTACAAAATGGTGACTACTGTTACCAGCGTATTGCATATGTAAAATCTGTTAAAAACGTAGATTTTAATAGTTTTTTTTAAGGAGGTAAATAAATTCACTAATGGGCACATACATTAGCTCCATGGTGGTAATTATTTCATAACGTATACGCTGTATGCAAATCAAAATGTTTCTATCTTCCATATAAACAATCTTGCCTGTGATCCATATCTCAGGAAAGCTGACACAAGAAACATAATATGGCCCCAGGATATTTCTTCAATATCCTTGAATGAATTTTGTTCTCTTTTAATCTTTGAGCCTTTTCAGTTGTTTCTTTTACTTTTGCTGGCTACATTGAAAATCACACTTTACAAGTGAATCTTTCTAAGAGTAGAATGTGAACGTTTTAAAACAATAACTAAGAAAATGACATGAAGGCTATGTTAACCAGTTTGATGGAAGTGTTTCGGATTGTGTGTGAAAACCCCACACTGTACCCCAGAAGCGCATTAATGTACATAGTTACCATTCAATAAAAAAAAAGAAAAAAGAAAAAAGAAAATCACACTTTAGGGCTCTGGTCATGTCTCCAGAAAACCCTTCCCTTCCTTCCCTTGAATAAAGGGTCCTTTTCTCTGATTCTTTGGTTCTGGGTCCTCCTGCTACCAGTTCAGATTCATTACCAGTTTCATTCACTCGTTCTATACAGGAATATGCATCACTTGTTTTATGTCAGGACGGTTGAAAACAACAAAGACACCATTCTCACTGAGATTGGTATTCGTGGGTAAAAATTTTATATGTAATTTTGAGTGAACAAAACACTCAAACTATGGTTTATCAATGGTTATCAAATAACCATAGTTTGATTGACTATGGTTGTCAAATAAGGGAACTACTCTGATGCTTCTGACAACAGTTATTTCGGTTGGTAGTAATTACTTTCGCAGGGATAGCAGAGGATGAGGACAATAGCAATTAGTGTAATTTAGCTGGACCAGGGAAAACATCTCTAAAGGGCAGAGACTGAATGAAGAGAAAGGGCTGTTTCAAGGAGAATATGAAGAAAGCTTTTTGCACCACAAGAAACAGGAAACGACAACCTGTAAAGACCCTAAGTTAAGAACAAGTTTAGAATAGGAATAGAGAGAAGTGTAGGTGGCCTGATTAACAAAGAGGGTGGGGTTAGCAGGTGAGGTTAGAGAGAGGACCCAGAAAATGTACAGCCTTCTAAGGCAAAGTCAGTGTAAATTTTGTTGTAATTATGGACGATCTGAAGTTGTTAAACAGAGAAGTTATCACAAAGACAAACCACTGTATACTAGTCCTCTCTCCCTCTCTCTCTCCCGGCACCTTCGGGTAGCAGAGAGCCCCTGTTAGGTGTATTGTTACTGAGATATCTCTCTTACAGATAGCTTTGGACACACAAATTTAATCCAGCAACTTATAAGCACATGTGATGTGAGCTTTCCAGATCATCTTAAAGTCCAAGGTGTTTCCTCGAAACTTTTTCTCCCATTCTTACAGGCTGGACTAAAAGAGCAGAGAGACCGGTTTAACCATACAGATGAGAACACCACCGTGACTAAGAGCAGAGCGTGGAGGGACTGTCGAATGACCTTGAACTGCAAAGTTTCTGTGCCTTCCCTGTGCCAATGGTCTTTCCACTTTTATTTAAGCCGCTGCATTCTGGAGGGTTTACTTTTATTTTCCCTGTTCTGCACTTAATTTAGTTTTTTTTATAGAAGCACAGTGTAATTTCATTTTTTTTTGTTTTCAAAACAGTTTTATTCAGATCTAGTTAAAAAACGTACAGTTCAATCATTTAGAAATGTATAATCCAGTGGTCTTCAGTGTATTCACATGTACGCACAACCATCACCCCGGTCAATTTTAGAAGGTTTTCACCACATCAAGCATGATTTCAAACTTCAAAAATACTGTAGCATGCCTAAGTGTTTTATCCCTTTTTATGACTGAATAATATTCTATTGTATGGAAATAGCACATTTGGCTTCTCCCTTCATCTGTTTTTTTTTTTTCTTTGAGACGGAGCCTGAAGCTGTTGCCCTGTGTAGAGTGCTGTGACATCACAGCTCACAGCAACCTCCAACTCCTGGGCTCAAGCAAGTCTCTTGCCTCCACCTCCCAAGTAGCTGGGACCACAGACGCCCGCCACAATGCCCGGCTATTTTTTGGTTGCAGCCGTCATTGTTGTTTGGTGGGTCGGGGCTGGATTTGAACCCGCCACCTTAGGTGTATGTGGCTGGCGCCTTAGCCACTTGAGTCACAGGCTCCGAGCCATACCTTCATCTGTTAATTGATTTTGGGTATCACCTTTCTGGATTATGGAGAAAGCTGCTGTAAATATTCCTGTGCAAGTTTTTGCATCGAAACGTGTTTTATTTCTCTAGGGTGTGTACCTAAGAGTGGGATTGCGAGGTCTTTTCATAACTCTGTATTAAAGTTTTTGAGAAGCTGACAGTCAGTTTTCCTAAATGGCTGTGTCATTTCATATTCATCCCCGTACATTCATCTCCCCACATCCTCATCAACTGTTATCACGGTCTGATTTTTGATTGTAGTCATTCTACTGGGTGTGGAGTGATAACTTGCTGAGGTTTTGATTTGCAGTTCTCTGAAGACTGATGATATTGGGCATCTTTTTATGTGTTTGTCGGCCATTTGTATATCTTTCTTGGGAAAATGTTCCTATCGTTTCTCCATTTTTAAATTGGGTTATATGTCTTTTTACCAAAAAGTTACGAGACCTTATACATATTGTATATTTGTATTAATATAGAATGTACATACACGCATACTCTAGATTCAAGTCCTTTATTAGATACAGGATTTGCAAATGTTTTCCTTTCATTCCTGAGTTACCTTCTACCTTCTTGCTGGTGTCCTTTTAAACACATTTTGTAAAAAAAAAAAAAAAATTAATAAACTATAACGTATCTATTTTTTCTTATTGTTTTGTAATTTTAGTGTCATATCTAAGAATTGTTGGTCAAATCCAAAATTATGAAGATCTAGGCTCTTTTTTTGCACATAGTTGTATAGTTTTAAGCCCTTAAATTTTTGATACATCTTGAGTTAATTTCCGTATATGACGTGAGGTAGGGATCCACCTTCATTGTTTTGCAAGTGTCCACCTCAATGTCGAAGCAATATTGGTTGAAAAGACTATTTTCCTCACGTGGAATAGGCTTGACAGCTTTACATAAAACCAGCCAAGCATAGACATGTGGGTTTATTCTGGACTCTAATTTTGGCCTGTAGGTTTATACCTCTGTGTCTATCCTTCCATGTGCTGGTAACACACCCTGGTGATTACCATTGCTTCATATAAGTTTTGAAATCAGGAAAATGAAAATTGAATTTTTCTGCTTTTTTTTTTTTAAACAAGATTGGTTTGGGTATCCTGAGTGACTTGCAACTCAATAGAATTTTAAAATCAACTTGTCCCTTTCTACAGAACAGTAGGGATTCTGAAAGGGATTGTGCTGAATCTGTGAATCCATTTGGAGAGTATTGCCATCTTAGCAATGTCAAGTTCATTTCCTGAATGTGGACTATTTTTTCCAACAACATAGAGCCTTCTAACTTCTTTTGATGATGGTTTATGCTTTTCAGACCACACCTTTTTCACTTTTTAAAAAAAATTTATTGTTGGGAATTCATTGAGGGTACAAGAAACTGGTTACACTGACTACATTTGTTAGGTAAAGTCCCCCTTACAATCGTGTCTTGCCCCTAAAATGTGTGGCACACACCAAGACCCCACCCCTCCTTCCCTCTCTCTGCTAATCCCTTCCCCACTTCTCCCTCCTTCTTCCTCTCTCTGCTCACCCCTTCCCCTTGTCATTAATTGTCCTCATATCAAAATTGACTACATAGGATTCATGCTTCTCCATTCTTGTGATGCTTTACTAAGAGTAATGTGTTCCACTTCCATCCAGGTTAATACAAAGGCTGTAAAGTCTCCATTTTTTTAATGGCTGAATAGTATTCCATAGTGTACATGTACCACAGCTTGTTAATCCATTCCTGGGTTGGTGGGCATATTTTATTCTTTTGGACATTATTGTAAGTGAATAGCTTTTCTAATTAATTCTTGGGTTGTTTGCTTCAAATGTTCAGAAATACAACTGATTTTTATATATTGATCTTGTGTCCTGTAAACTTGCTTGACTTATTTATTAGTTCTAATAGTTTCTTTGTTGCTTCCTTAAAAATTTCGATAGATGCTATCCTTAGATATACAAATAGACATGCTCTTACTGCATTCTTTCCAATCTGTATGCCTTTTGTTTCTTTTTCTTGCCTAATTTATCATCAGGACCTCCATTAAAGTGGTGCTGGAAGTGGTGAGGGAAACATCTCATTCCTACCTTCACAGGAAAGCATCTCCATGAAATATGATGTTAGCACAGGCTTTCCTTAGATATTTTTCAACAGGTCGAAGATATTCCCTTCTAACCCTAGTTTGTTGAGGGTTTTTATAATAAAAAATATGAAATTCTTTACAAATTCCATATCACCCTTATTTGGGGGCTATGCTATGCCAATCTTCACTGTATTCTTTTGATTTTAGTACATGTGCCGCCAAGGTGAGTACAAATGTCATATGGCTTTAATTCTTTTACATTTTATTTCATTTCATTTTATTTTATGTTTAGAGACAGAGTCTCACTTTTTGTTGCCCTCGGTAGAGTGCTGTGCTGTCACAGCTCACAGCAACCTCCAGCTCTTGGTCTCAGACTATTCAATTCTCTTGCTTCAGCCTCCCAAGTAGCTGGGACTACAGGCACCTGCCACAGTGCCTGGCTATGTTTGGTTGCAGTTTGGAAGGCGCCAGGTTCAAGCCCTCCACCCTCAGTCTATGGGGCCAGCGCCCTACTCACTAAGCCACAGGTGCCACTCTTCTTTTACATTTTAATACTTGTTTCATTTTATTAGTGATTATCTTTTCACTCTTCCATTTTCTCCCCTAGAAGGTAAACTCCATTGGAGCAGGCCTCTGATCACTGGGTCATCCTTATACCTTTCTAACTTCACATTTTATGTGTTCAATAAATATATGCATAAAGTTAATGAATGAATATTCCAAAGCAAGTAGAATAGTCTTTGAATGATTGAATCACTGAAAAACCATGCTATGTTTCTCTATCTGTCATCCATATATCACACGGCCCTGTCTGAATGATCCTTTCTTCACAATTACCTCATCTCTACCTTGTGTTCGGGGGTGGTAATCTGTAAGTTACTCTCGTGCTCTGATACCTCTTTATTAATGCAATCATTTTATTTATTCTTCATTTCACTATCCATTTTATGACTTTCCAAAAAGCCACTGCTTTTATTGCATCAGGGAATAAAAAAGGCAGAAAAATTATCTCATTTATTGATTATATACTTTTCAGAATTCCTTCATGCCCTATCTTTATAAAAATGTCGTACCACCTGAGTGCACATTTGTGTCCTTATGGGTGCTGGGGAAGGGATGGAGGACTAGAATTCACCTATTTTGCATAATAAGGCCAAGATGATGTTTTTCTACTACATGATAGTGCCCCTTACTGGTAACAAGGGGAAAATGTCCTGTTACACATACATTCAGCCACAATAGAGGACATGCTTAGACCAAGTGGACTTCCACCAAGACACGGTTGTCTTTTCAGAATATCCAGCTTAATAATATTTGAAGGTCAGGTGTGGTGGCTCACACGCCTAATTCCAGCACTTTGGGAGGCCTTGGAGGGAGGATTGTTTGAGACGAGGAGTTAGAGAACAGCCTGAACAAGAGAAAGGCACCTGTATCTAGTAAAAATAGAACAATTATCCAGTCATGGTGGCAGGTGCCTGTAGTCTCAACTCCTTGGAAAGGGGTAGTGGGAGAATCCCTTGAGCCCAGGAGTCTGAGGTTGCAGTGAGCTATTTTGATAGCACCACACTCCAGCTGGGGAACAGAATGAGACCCTGTATAAAGAGGAAGAAAGAGAGAGAGAAAGAAAGAGAGAGAGAGAGAAAGAAAGAAAGAATTTTCCTACCTTTGAGTAATGAAAAAACATCAAGTGTTATCCTAACTGTAAAGTTAAAAGTTAAAATACATACATTTACATTATTCATGCATGGTTTTGAATGAAGTACATACGTATTTAAGTATCTCTTTCTTAGAACTCCTCATTTTTAAGAGTTAGCTTCCCTAGGCGTAATTTTTAAACAAATTTCTTAAGAGTATTTTAACACCGGAGGAATTCCCTGTGAGAAAGAATTCATAAAATTCAATTTTTAGCAAATAATAAACTCTGCCTTCTCTTATATTGAAATTAGTTTCTAAACCCCCCAAATATCCCAAAGGGACAGCATGACCTGAAAGGAGGCATTAACCACATTGCTAAAGGTTAATAGATTTTTAGATCTGAATGGAACAAGCACAATTTAGAGCTTTTCCTCTGAGCAGAGCTAGAGCCATCTTAGCTTTTTTCTTTTCTTTTTTTTTTTTTTTTTATCAGTTATCACTGTGGACTTTGTTTAACATATTAAAAAACCATCAAAATGACAGTTATATTCCTTTCACAATTCAAAATGAAATGTGTAACCCAGGCATTTTGTAACACTGTTAAAAACTCTACATTATAGAGTCAAGAAAGTTATCCATTGCTGAAGCACAGATGTGCACGCACACTCACACATCAGGCATACACACATCACACGCACACACTCACACATGTGCACACACACACAGCATCCAAGGGACATAAAAAGTCACACAATAGCTTTTCAATTTTTTCCTCATGTGCCCATTAATGTGATAAGATGGACGCTGAATCTATTCCATCAATAATTTTTTTCTGAATTTTTATTGCCATTATTCATACAGAGTAATTCTTTGTTATTAAAACACAGATGGAAAAATTAAAAACTTCTTATGTTAACATAACTTAAATTAACTCTAAAAGTTATGTGCATAGAGTGGCACCTGTGCTCAGAGGAGTAGGGTGCTGGCCCCATATGCCGGAGGTGGCAGGTTCAAATCCAGCCTCGGCCAAAAAAAAAAAAAAAAGGAAAAGTTATGTGCATAATCAAAGCCTAAAATTCTCTAGATTTTATTTACTTTTCCTCTTGTAGTGTATTTTAAGATAAAATACACTATCTTTTTATTAAAATAAGTTAATCTGATATTGTTTAATGTATTACAATCTGCAATATTTCTAGAGCTTGAACAAAAAAATAAATTTTTACCAAATATAACCTACAAGAAGTATAAATATACCAATACCCTAAAAAACGTTCGTGTAAATTTTTACTTTTTCAAATTGCAAATTATATACGTTCTCTTGAATAACCCTTCTTGGATTACACAGGAATGAGTCCACGGCTGAACCACAGAATGGAACAGTATCCACTCTGTGTGAAATACAGTGTATTTCAGTTTTTCTTTGTGTGATCTGGTGATACCAAAACAAACAGAGGAGAGAATAAAAAAAGAAGCGTTGCAAATTTTCCGAAAAGGAACCAGTGTGATACCAGAACTAATTAACCTGTTTTTGCCTCGACAAGTGAAAATGAATTTCAATATTCAGGGGTGTCCACCCCTGTCCTATTAAGCAGCGTGTGATTGGAAAACAGCCTTAATCAGGAAGCGAGGTGGCAGAAAAACTTTGCTATAAAAAGAATCCAAGGAAGATAAGAAGAACAGTGTGGGAATGTTCCAGATTACTCAATACTACCTGTTAATACAGTCAGAAAACATTAAATTCGTAATTCCCCTTCTTATTTTTTCCCCTTTATGTACCATGCACCAAATTAGTCGTCTCCCAGTCTTTAAAAGCAGATGCCACCATTAAGACCGTACTTCACACTGTTTTTTTCTGCTTTATATCTACGAAAGTTCACACTATTTCCTTCAGAAATCTTGGATATATACCATATGGTCCTGGTGATTTATTGGACTTGAAATACTCTACTTGCTCTATAACTTTCTCATTATAGATGTCAATCTTTGTCAAGGGCGCCATCTGATGCTCTATGAAAAGTGCCTGAGGAATAGAAATTTCCCCAAAGTTCTCTCCAGTATTCTAATAGGAAAACCATTTTCTTTTTTCTCCTTCCTGTTAGCAAGTTTTCAAAATCCTCCTGAAAGACTTGCAGCCCTCATTATAGCTCTGGCTTTTTTACTTTTCTTAATGAGCACACTTCACAGAATTTCCTGGACTTCTGTTTTTTATTGCAATTCATTCGAGTTGATGAAACTTCTGTTGAACTTCTACCGTGGTTCGATTTAAATAAAAATCTGTGTGACGCTGCTTCTAATCGTTAGGAAATTTAAAATAGGAGGCAAAGAATAAATAAATGTATTTGTCTAGAGAGGACAAATACATTCTATATATTCAAGATTCATGTACATAAACCTTTACATGTTTTATTCACAACCATTTATTATCAGCAAAGCTTAGATAAAACACACGTATTTAATTTGTGTTTACTTTACCATGTGAGCATGTGAATATTTATGAAGGAGCTGAGTGTGCAGGTTTTTAATCTTGACTTTATTCTAATTTCACCAAGATTACATAATAAATTCCTTCCTGTCAGCTTTTATCCCTCTCTTTTTATTTAAAAATATATATGACCACATTTATCTTCGTTGAGGCCTGTGTTGTGTATAATACATTTGACTTGCATGTTATACTGCGTTAGATAAACACTCTTAGAAACATATGGACAATGTTCAAGAGTGGATTCACCTGTTCTTGCACTTAAAGAAAAGAAATCATAAAGTTATCCTAAACTCCTAAGTGATTCAGGGCCCCGCCTTGATTGTCAGCCTTCATGAGTAGTTAATACTAGGTTTTGTGCTAGAGGTGACTCTGCACTATCATGATTCCATCAAAATTTTAAGGACAATTGTCCAGTGTGCAGGTGCCAGTGACCTGAAAAAGACAGTGGGACACACATCATCCTTAGAAGTCCGAGGAGTGAATCTCTGAGAGGTGAGTTTAGTTAAGAGACTTACCTTCTGATGGCCGCCGTCCGCCAGTCACCGTAGGACCAATATCACCCGATTCTATCTACAGAATATATCTAAAATCAACAAACTGCTAGGAGCAGAGAGAAGCATGGAGGTTGCCCAGGGCGAGGGAAAATGGGATTTGCTGTTCAATAAATAGAAAAGTTTCAGTTATGTGAGATGGATAAGTTCTAGAGCGCTGCTGTACAACGTTATATCTACAGTCAATAATACTATGTCTACACTTAAACACCTTTTAAGAGGGTGGATACCATACTAAGGGTTCCTTGTAGATAACAACAAAATAAAAAAAAAATAAATGAAAACGGGATAACGGCTGTGACTTACAAAACACTGACATATTAGTGAATAGAAATATGATGACATTGAATGAGATAGATTTATTCTGAGATTTTAACATTCATAGTAAAGGAAATAAACTATTATCCATCTAGTACGATTTCTACTCTATAATTACAGTGACGTCTGAATTCTTGGGTATGCATTTAAGAACACAGACTTTCCTGACGAGCATAAGGAGTATAATAATAAAATATAACACACAGGATTAAGGATTAAATAGATTAATATATGGGATAAGGAGT